TTCAAGATCTTAAAATTTGAAGCAGCGTGTGTAACTAGTGTTCGCTTCTGCTGCTTAGAGTTTGTACCTGTTCCTGTTAATTATATCAAGTTATCTCTACGTATGAGAGTTCAACCACACAGCGATTATATCACTATATCAACATAAGAAAGTCATTTCTCATCCACAGAGAAGATCAAACAGCTTTGTGTATTTTCCACACAGGGATATGGATTAACAGAGACTTGCAGTATTGTATCGTTGGAGCGCCCTCAAGCATGGGCTCGGAAATTTGGTTCCACAGGTTACTTAATGCCAGGCATTGAGGCTAAAATTATCAGCATAGGCACATCTAAGACTCTTCCACCTAATCAGAATGGGGAGATATTAGTTCGTGGACCAAATATAATGCAAGGTAGGATTCTTCATCAATATTTTAAGTTTACTGCAAACCTTATGATCTTTTTCTGAACTTGATACACCTGAAGAAATAGATCTGAAACAAACTTTATGCTTGATCAGAATGCCATGATCGAAGATTGAACATGAAGAATGAATTTCTGGTTTTTTGCATAATTATATTTCTGATAGTTATGGCCGAAATCAAGTTTGCTAAAGATTTTCTTTTTTCTCATTTGGTTCGACTTTCCTGTCATAACATAGAACTTTTTCCATGCCTACATTATCAAATTAATGTATATCTTTATGCAATGTCCATGTGATGAAGATATTCTACATTTTAGGTACTTCCTTTACTGATCTTGTGTTACTCAACATCTATTTTTATGGAGCTGGATTTCATTATCTTGAGCAAATTGCCACGTTCATATTATTCTTTACCAATTATATGTCCTTATTTGTTAGAGTGGCATGACATATATATTACTGTAAATGCCTCATAATGAAGTATCTTTTGATACTATGATCTTGCAAAATCGAACAAACGCAATAGAATCAACAATAGAATCAAGTGACTTTAGCAACCCATTTTTTTAGTGTATCACCCGGTTTGTTAATGAAATAGATCAGCTTTCGGAGATCTGGTTGAAGGAAACTTACACAGAACTAAATAAATCATCAATATGATTTTCTTTACATGTTAAATACCAATTTTGACGTTTGTGCAGGGTATTTCAAAAACCTAGAAGCCACTAAATTTACCTTAGATGAGGAAGGCTGGTTACACACAGGTGATCTCGGATATTTCGATGAGAAGGGACAACTGTATGTCGAGGATCGGTTAAAAGAATTAATCAAGTGCAAAGGTTTTCAGGTACTCCTCATACTGAAGTATATTTTATTTTTGTGGCTACATTAAAGCAAAACAATGACGTTGAGTAAAATGCATATGCTGTTTACTCTCACACTGATATATCTTATAAATATATCTTTGGCAGTGAATTCCTATCAGTGATATTTAAACTACTGTCTTACCTATTTCATCATTATGAAATGTAATTCTCATCACTGTACCGTTTCATATTCTGTTTTTCTTATTTATACATGAAAATTAGTTCTTTAGCTTTCAAATTCGTTTTATTTTTATTATCTGTTTATTTATTATTATTTATTATTTATTTATTTATTTATTGTAATTATTATTATCATTATTATTATTATTTTGATATAGTTCGGTTAAACTGTCCTGTTGTTTCTTTTCTTCATCAACTCACCATTAACATTGCTTTGATTTTTAAGGTTGCACCAGCTGAGCTTGAATCAGTGCTTACCTCTCATCCTGAGATATTAGATGCTGCTGTTGTGCCGTAAGTTTTGAAGAGAATTCTCAGAGCTAGAATTGATTGTACTTTCGTTTTTCGTGCTTGTTGAAGCCTAGAGAATTTTCTTGTTAATATCATGGTATATTTGCATTAAACAATGTTATGCTAAACTTATGGGGTTCTGTTATCTTGGATTTTTGTATCCAGAATGGAAGATGCTGAAGCTGGTGAGGTTCCTGTGGCATTCGTTGTTACTCGTAACAGCTCACTTACTGAAGTGGATGTGCAGAAATTTGTTGCGAGTCAGGTAGGTCGTAAATATAATTTGACTTGATTTGATTTGTGTTCCTCTTATAATCCATTTTATCAAACTCTATAACTATTGCCAACAGGTTGCTCCTTTCAAGAGGTTGAGGAGGGTAATCTTTGAGAACAGCATCCCGAAAACAGCTTCCGGAAAAATCCTTAGAAGAGAGTTAACGAACACGGTAAAAACGCTCAGAAGAGAGCTTTCAGATAAAGTTAGATCAAAACTATAGGAATCACACTTCCTTATATGCTGAATGAGTCAATTGCTTGAATTTGCGTGTAATAATGTATATATCAATCTGTAATCTCATGTGGACGGCTTTGTTGTATGCTGTATCCTACCTCCAAGCTACTGTAAAGAAATGTTTAAGCACCACTCATATCAAAATAAAAATGAGCATTTATTATGGATGAGAGGTTAGACAGTAGCATATTTACTTTTCTTCTCCTTTATAGATGCTACTCTTTGTGGTGCCCACTAATTACTTTATGGATCACGCATTAAAAAAAATATCGGAGCACCTTTTACTCAGAAACAAATTGAGCATGCAACCCTCTCTTACCTTTTTTTTTTTTTCCTTTCAAGGAGAAAAAGGTACAAAAAGTGGTTAAGTTCACCGTAACAGAGTATCTCTAGAAACAGGGAGAAGGGGTCAGTTTTAGAAGAAAAAAAAAGTGCGCCGGAGACAGGAGCATTGCAAGCCAAACAGACTCTCACCCTAAACACTTCGTTTCTGTCCAAGTCTGAGACGATGAACAATCTAAAGACCAAGGCATGCCATGATCCCTTATAGCCCAAAGAGCTAGATCTAGATGTCCCTGAGAAACTGTTTTTACTCACACTCCCTGAGAATTGAAATATACTAATTAACTCCGATAGAAGTGATCGTCTATCTACATTCCTTGACATTACCTCAAACTGGTGCGTCACCAAAATTGTGATGAGCTTATAAGAATTAATTTATGAAGAGTCAAGCGCGCAAATAAGGCAGATCACAAAGACCCTGAAAGCAACTTCACAAGGTTGCCGTTGAAGAATGCCTTGTTAGGTAAACATGAATCGCTAGACGTTTAACATTGACATTTGCGATGTAAATGTTTGGGACAAGAACATGAACCTCCAGAGCAGAGAAAACGCTAAAAGAAAATAAGTTACTAGTGAAAGGTACAGGCGCAAGAGGTTTGTCATCTCTCATCTCAAATACTGAAAAGTATCAACAGTGACGAATTTGTAACACATCAAAGCAGAAAATTTATTTGGTGGTTACACTGGTAAAGAGCTCCATGGTACTATACGGCTGCCAAAAAATTATTGGGGGTTCATGGTGTTTCCTTTTTCTATTTTGAGGTAGTTACATCAACCACCATTTAACATCCAGAATGATAAGTTTAAATTTAAATAAAATAAAAAAAGAAATTAAGTTTCCACAGCAGCAAAAGAATTAAACTGTTCCTCCACCAATTTGTCGGAGAAGTCTATCCATGGGCCCATACTAGGTTACCACCGTAAAAATCAAGTATTATTCGACTCATGACCCTGAAAAGTATAAAAAGACCGTGAGATTATTGACAGTACGCAAAAATGGAAAAGACTTCAGGGAGGAGCAGATACTTGCCTGTATGTTTTCCATCGTGAAACTGTGCATTTTTAGATGATTTGAAGGTTTCTAAAAATTGTTTGGCCTTTTGGAACTCAAGTTTTTTCCTCGCCTTATCCCACTTGTGCTCAGAAGCCAGTATCTCAATAATTCGTGGCAATGCTCTGCCAGCGGCATCAGTGTCCAGGAAAGCAAGCCTACATCTCCTGGCAACAAAGTCAACAGCAGATTCACAATATTCATTCCGAGCACAGTATGCAACCTCAGCCTCTAGAAAAGGGTATCCATGAGCAAGCCGCTTCCCAAGGTTCTCATTCTAAGGAAAAGGTTAAAAAGGCACTTGATTAAGTATACCACAGTTAATCTTGAGAACAATCAGAAAACCAATTGATATCATATGAGAATAATCAGAAAGGCAATAGATTAAGTAGTAGCAATTACTATTATCACAACACTAACTGAGGATTTAAGCATACCTGAGCTATGGTTGCCACTCTTTCAGCCATCGTACCATATGCATGTGACAAATGCTTAGAAATATAACTGTCCATAACTCCAGGAATAATTTTTCCACCATATGATTTCTTCATGCGTACATATTGCTGTGCGAGTACAGTGAAGGATGCAGGGTCCCAACCGTTTCCCCCAACAATATGCAGGTTGTTAGTCACACAACCATTAGCCGGCTTCAACTTTCCTGACCTTACAGCTGCATTCACCGCATCTTCAGCCATGCTGGAAAAAGGCATGGTAGGATAAATAGAAAGCATACAAACATTTAAACAACCTAACAGAATGATCATCGAAAATAAAAGAATGTAAATGGAAAAACCCAACAACAAATGCTTTTACTCACAAACTCAGTGAGCTTTTTAAACAGTTGAGGGCATAATGTAGACAAATGCAAGACACCAGTTGTAATCCTCCTTTTGTTGATTAGGTTACAGAGTAGTTACTAATTCGTTCACGTCAAAAGAGAAGAAAGTTTGTAGACTTTACAGAATATAGTGAATAACTACGTGCGTTGCCTACAAGCCTACTCTTGTGGTTTGTGGTCAAACACATCTAACAAATCTTTAAAAAATATTGAGGAGGCCTGCTCATATAGGGTACATATCTAAACTTAGACACCTATGCCTGATAGATACGTGTTGGATACCCTTTTCATGTATCATCGAATTGCAATGTATCAGAGACGTGCCGAAGACACATCTTAGATGTATTTGAGATTAAAAAGATAAAAATCCAATGTAACTTGATTTGTTGGGTACATTGCTCTTATTTAAATTGACCAATATCTTATGAGGTTAGTTTATGTAACACGAAAACATTTCATGATATCAAGGACATTGAGTGTATCGCGTATGCATGATTTTCTATTTGTTGTATCCACAAGATATCTGTATCTTTAGTACCCCTATACTATCATTTTTGTATTGGTGCATGATATGTTGTATGTACATATGTATGTATTTTCAGTTTTATATATAATCGATTTTATATTTTTTGTCTAATCATATCAGATTCGTGTCCTTTTTTTCGAATTTCCCTTAGTGTCGTCTCCATATTTATCACATCTGTACCCCCATACTCTCGTCCATTCTTCTAGTTGTGAGCACTACCATGAGTCTAGTACAAAGAAATATTAAAATAGTATGAAATCAACACACACACACACACAACCAAAACCAAAGAATGCAAGATATCATGACCTCAAATCTGACAATGAAGATCATATCATGTTTATGTGATTGACCAGAAACAGTGCCATAGACGAGTGATAATACATAGCATCCCTCTTTGATGAAAGTTTTCAGATATACCTTCTGTAAGTTGTCCATTTTCCACCAGTAATTGTTACTAGACCAGGATAATCTTCGCACACAACATGGTCTCTAGAAATACTCTCAGTGTTCTTTGCTGATGGATCTATTGCCAAAGGGCGGATACCACTCCAAGCTGAAAGTACATCTCCACGTCGTACCTAAAATAGTATCGAAAATATATATGTGAAGAAGATGCTACAAGGTACTTAAGAATATAACTTGTCTACTACCTCAAATAAAGGCTACCACAGAACTAGAAGTTCCTACATCAAATTAGCAAGCAAAAAGAAATGAATGAAAGACAGTTACAATATCAGATGCATTACACTGATGAATGTGAGTATTTATCGGATTAGGATGATAGGCAAACCGCACGGTTCCAATTAATTTGAAGGGCAGAAGCTGCTTGACAAGAAAATGATGAAAGAAATAGCTTCACCAGAGCACCAACCTGAACATTAAGGTAATCACAGATGGCATCCAATATAAATTGTATTTCATCTTCATGTGGTTCCGGAAGCATAGTAATGGGAGTATTAGAATCTGTAGTCCCTGCAATTGTTCTTCCTAACCAGGGCAGCATGAATACAACACGGCCATCTTTTGTTTTTGGTACAATTAGTCCCATTCCCTCAGGGGAGTAATAATCAGGAAGCACAATGTGCACACCGCTACTTGGAGAAATCATAGGTGGAGCATCTTTGTCAGCCATTTTTCGTACAGCATCGCAAAATGGCCCGGCCGCATTTACAACAACTCTTGCAAATGTATCAAACTCTTTGCCTGATGCACTTTAAGAGAAGTTAAGCAGCATACATGTACAACAAAACATTTTAGTTACTTAATAGAAAATAAAAAGCAACTAAAATATAATTAGAATATAACGTAAGAAAAACTATCAGTGTGAGAAATAACAAATATAAAAAGGGCATAACTGAAATTTCTATGGTGATGAATTACCATATACAATATGCTCTATACGCCTATATAAATAAACTCCAGAAACCTGGTTCAAAGTGCAAAGCTATTAGCAATAATCTGATTCTACCAGATCACTAGTAGCTCTCTCATTAAAAAAAACAGAAGGTAAGGATTAAATGGTTTGTAGCATACATACCCCCTTCCTTCCTCCCACCCAGATTCATTTCCTTTATTATCAAGTTTTCGTTTATGCCATTTTTATTGTTTTCTGCATTTATAGTTGATATCCCTTACAGAGTGGAACTAAGTTTAAAGATGGATCCATCACATAATATTTCCTGCGATCTACTGTATACTTTAGTCTTTGATATTTTCTGTAGTATGATTGCATCAACAAAAAATTTGAACTACAGATCTTTCTTTAAAAAGTTCAAGAGATAATGTTCTATGCACTTTATCCTTAGAATGGTAATCTAGCATGAATTGCAGTTTTCAGAACAAACTTCACTTGTTCATCAGTCACTGATTATATTTACTGCAATAGAATGTCTAAAGATGTCAATATCATAACAACAGTATATCCAGGACCTCACAATCTATCTCTCCTTGCAATAAATCTTAGAATCTGATGAACAGTAAATCCCTTCTTAATGTGATTTGTCATGATGACTGATCGAAAATATCACATAAGCATCACAAAAGGAACAAAAGAGGTCTTTTAAAAAGGGTAGTTTGTTGCTTAAGCATCAGGAACAGTACATCCAGTATCTCACAAATTCACAATCTATCTCTCCGAGCAATAAATCTTAGAATCTGACCTTATTGCAGTTTTCAGAACAAACTTCACTTGTTCATCAGTCACTGATTATATTTACTGCAATAGAATGTCTAAAGATGTCAATATCATAACAACAGTATATCCAGGACCTCACAATCTATCTCTCCTTGCAATAAATCTTAGAATCTGATGAACAGTAAATCCCTTCTTAATGTGATTTGTCATGATGACTGATCGAAAATATCACATAAGCATCACAAAAGGAACAAAAGAGGTCTTTTAAAAAGGGTAGTTTGTTGCTTAAGCATCAGGAACAGTACATCCAGTATCTCACAAATTCACAATCTATCTCTCCGAGCAATAAATCTTAGAATCTGACCTTATCCACCATATTCAACCACCCAAACCATACATCCCATGTCCATTCACCTATTTATCTATTCAATCGATAGGCTAGTTAACACTTCACAAAACCTTAGTTCTTAAAAGTTAATCTTCACCTGGTCATCTCATCTCCCTCCCTCCTCCCATACACCTGCTTCCCTCTCCTGTTTGTAAGATATATGAGTGCTAGATCTAAATATTTAAACTTCTTTAGTATTAATATCCCCTTGAGCGCTTTATTTTCATTGGATGTATTGACATGTGGCAACATTCAGATGTTGAAAATGAACTGAACTATCCTTTGCCCAATCATTGGTTAATGGTGAGGAAATAAATTTTACTAAAATCGCTGCAAGCCCACTCACTGTCTAATTCTCCAAGATGTTTTTTTAAAATAAAAAAGAGTAAATTTCACAAAACTACCATGACTAGTTAGAGGTTCTTCCGAATAGATTACCAAACTACCATAAGCTACTGAATATGGGAGTTATGAAAATATTTTCGTGTTGGATGCACTATTTCCTAAAATAACTAAATATATTGCAGTAGGTTGTCATTTTACCAGAGAAAATGTTGGAGGTGCCTTAGGTTATACATCAAATGACTGAAAGAAGCAGTGCACCTACGTATCATTTATTAAGTAGTTCAAGTAAAAAGTCATCGAGTAAATTTGTTCTCATGAACTCAAATGTACTTCTAAGGCTCTAAATCCATCTTACACTCTCTTCTGCCTCATAACTAAGAAAGGGATACAAAGAAAGGGCCATGCCTTTGTGAGAAAGATGGTATCTTCATTCTCCATGTTAAGAGGTACGCTAATCGATGTTTTTGGTAAATTTGTTTATCCTCATAATGAGTAGTGAATCTTGTTGATAAATTAGTGGGATGCCTAATTTATGATTGCAGCTATACTAGTGTGCGTCAAACAATTTGCCACAAACCAAGTATTTCATAGATTTTACTGCAATAATAAATTTGTTGAATGAATTCATCGAAACTGCAGTTTCATTAATTTTTCCTGACCAGTTCATCACAGAAATTTGTATTTAAAAAAAGGGACATGTGTTAGCTGCCCTCGCCTAAGAAAAATCTTGGTTACAACCCTGTGACAAAGCAAAGCTAATTTCAGTTATATACATATATATTTGAACAAAAGAATGGCACAAAAATTCTGATATCATAGTTGCACGACAGTTTGTAACCCCACAATTTAAAACATGTTCTAAATCTATTTATTAGCATTGTTCAAGCATATTAAGTTGTTGGAACCTTTTAACGGAAGCATTGGCTAGAAATTACCTACAACAGTAACTATATTCTTGTTAAATCGTAAGGTCCAAACTACTCAAACAGCTTCACTACATCAATAGACTTAATGTATAGAAGATGTTACGTGTAAAGATAAACTACATAGAAATATAAAGGATGATCCTATGTTGACAAAATTGGTAAAAAAGAAAAGAAAAAAGAAGAGAGTAACTTTCTACCTGATATCTTATCTCGGATACGTGCACCAATTATCCGATCACCAGCATCATCTTTTATAATGGAAATAACTTCTGCATGGTTAAGCACCGCAGCACCAACTAAGGCAGCAGTGCAAGCTAATCCTACATTCAGCCGAGAATCGTTCATCTGCCCATCATAATAAACCACTGTTCCTTTCAAACTTCTGTCATGACCTTTTCTCGCCAGAGTAGGGAAAAGTTCAATCGATTCATCTGCAGAATAGTATCTAGATAAATGCAGCATTCTTCGACCAGCAACAAGATCGTACATTTTTAGGCCCGCCCAGTAATAAAGAACTTCAAACCACTCAAAGCATGGTGTCATGCAAGGCAAAGCCTGGCATAAGTGCGGAGCATTCTCAATAACCTGTTTACGCTCCTTAAGTGCATGGAATACAAGTTTCAACTGCCCATAATCTAGATTGAATACTGCCTTTTCCAAATAACGGACCCCTGAAAATTAGAAAAAGCAATTTCAGAGAAACGGATACTTTGGAGAACTACTCAATGAGCGCTTTATGGTTCCCCATTGAATACAAGCAACAATATACATTAGGCACTTGAATACTTAATGGTTACATGTCAAATATTCCTCTTAGCATATCGTGTAATTTATACTGTATCACAGACACGTGAAACAAACAAAAATATAACAAAGCTATAGAATTTATAATGTATCATTAACATATGGCTACATATTAGAGACTTGAGTTAAAAATACAATGCATGAATGAAGTACACAAAAACATAGAGAGAAAGCATTGATGAACCAATCTACCATGCTACACAGCTACCATAACTGAATTTCCCACAAAAAAAACGTTCTAAATCATCTCCATTTTCACTCCCAAAACTATTTTTATCTTCCAATCTTTACCCAACCACTTCGTCTCTGAATTTTCTAGTTATTTGATTTTCAGGAGAAGTACTGAAGCTGCAAAAAGATTCCAAATTCTACAGAAATCCATTAAGCAAATAAAACAACCCACACCCTCTAAAGCAAACAAAACGAACCACGCCCTCTAAACCCATGCAGTGAACAATTTCCATGGATATTTAACTTGTCGAATGGAACTCTGGTCTCTAGTATCGTTTCTAAGAGGAAAAATCATGAAACATAATTAAATTGCAAAGAGCAAGGCCCCCTCGGATTTGCATTGTAACAGTATACAATATACTATTAAAGGGCTTCACATGCACAACCTCTGCTCCACATTAACGTAACAAATAAAATTTTAAATAAAAAAACCTAGTTCTGGTTACTTTTTGCCCCAAAGACAGGCATAAAGTCAAAATCCAAAAGGGAATCAGTTCCAATCACCCAAAAAAAAAAAGAAAGCAACACCAAAAACTCGCTCACCTCCATGGATCAGCTTCGTGGACCTCGAGGAGGTCCCCGACGAGAAATCCTCTCGCTCAACAAGGCCAACCCTCAGCCCTCTCGTCGCCGCGTCGAGCGCGACGCCGCATCCAGTGCTCCACGCATCACGAGCACGTCCAGTGGATTCACAGGGCTCGTCCCCATCAGCGCCGACTCCTGCACGTCTCTCGTAGGCACCGCGGCGAACGGATCGCGACTTCTGCCGCCAGCGTTTTCCAAACGCTGTCGAAGTGCGGGTCGCTCGCGAACGCCGGCGCGAGATCAGGGTTGAGCGTTGCCCAGGATGCGCCGGAAGCGGCGGCGATCAGGGCGAATCGCCTCATCCGAGGGGCGGCCATGTCGGGATTTTGGATTTGATCGCTGGTTCGACGTTCGAGGGAGCGAAGGCCTTTATAGCTCGGGAACTGGTTGAAAGCGGTAGTCGTGAGGAAATTACGAGAATGCCACTGGTTTTAGTTGGACCCGAAAGGTTGGGTTTCGGATGGGGGGAATGAACCGGAAATTTTTATTCTCGTTAAGTCCGTGGATACTTTTTGGTGCGCTTCTTTAATTTCCCCCTGGGATTTATGGGTTGAATTGATTCTAGTTGGTTGCCAGGCAGTTGGCATTTGACCAAATTCATTCGCTATAGGTGACCGTGTAAATACTTTCTAAATACTAATCGCCCGCTTTGGAAATCTACTCCTCATATGAGTCAGATCCTGTACTGTTTGACTAGGAGGAAAACTAGAAGGAAAAAAGGATAAGGAAAAGAATGGTAAATAATAACAACTATTAAAAGGAAAAAAGGATAGAGAAAAAAAATGGTAAAATAATAATTATTAAAAGGGGGAAAAAACAGTTGAGTTTCGTTGTTTGGTAGGTAAATAGTCAAGCACATCCTCATTCTCTGATCCAAATCCAAATGATACCGGTCCAGATCAATGCTCGTATTAAGTCTATGAAATTTACACAAACATGTTATTGTATCACGGATCCTTCTTTATGTTTTAACAGATACTTGTTCATAAACGGGTAGGATGAGTAAGTGTTTAGATCAGTTCGGGTTCGAAGAACCACACAAGTCTGAATATGGACTCATAACAAACTTCACTAGACAAAAGAACCTCCGATGGCAATGTACATCCAATAAGAAAGCAATACGGTTGAAATTCCAGCAATATAAGTAGATACAGGATAAATTTTGATAAACTGCTCTATAAAGAAGCTAACACATTCACCCTCAAAGTCCCAGTTAACTATGCGCATCTCACTCCCAAAACCAGTATTTAATTCATTATAGAAATCAACAATTCTTACATATGGTTATTTATACAAAAACTACTTAAGAACTAATACATTTGGCACAGAACAAGAGCCTCTTTAGAAAGGAAAAGATAAAATCATTACATTGTATGATGAGAGGGGGAGCAAAAATGAGAAAACAATTACATTACAGTAACATTGACATCAGAACCAACACAACAATGGGTTAGTGCCCCAGGAGAAGAGGATCATCACTGATTCCCTGCTATAACTCGCAGCTGCTATTACTTTTGCACTATACACAAAAAGAATCAAAAGATAATGACATATAGCTCAAATAGCACATATAGCTAAACTTTGCATGCTAGTGTTCAGGCTTGAACGCTCGGGCTTTTAGTATTCCTGGAATCTGAGGTGAACTAGGCACCTTTCCTTGCGAGTTGGGTCTTATAAGTGGCCTTGGAGGTGAAAATAATCCCTGCGTGCTGGAGCTGTCGCAAATAATTGAATGAGGCTCATGGTCACCGTCATTGTGTTCTTGTTCAGATAGTCTCATTGCCCTCAGAACATATGAATCATCGTGCAACTCAAAAGGAGTACTGCATATAGTGTTTGCGGATAGAATATTAAACCATAGAAGTTTAAATTTTAGGGGTAAATAGCACGTAGACCCCCAGTACTATTGCACATTTGAAGTTTGTCCTAGACCTGTTGTTTCACTGTTGCAGATAGACCACTGGGTTAATTTTATTTACTCTTTTGCCCTCATATAGATGACTAATTTCGCTCAGGGGCAATATCTGCCGATCTTTGACCAAGGGTAAAAGAGTAAAAGACAAAGTAACCCGGGGATCTATATGTGAAAATGAAACTATAAGGGCAGTAAGTGCAAAACAAAAGATAGTACAGGGGTTCAATGTGCACATAACCCTAAAATTTATATGAAGTCATAATGTCACTAAATAAGACCAAAATTTGCATGCTATTAACTAAGGCTAGCACCTCAATGATCTCATTGGCTAAAAATAACATTGTTAGGGAGCAAGATATTTAAGATAGAGACGAGAAATTGCAATAATTACACCATTTGAAGGCACAATCAGAGAGAGAATCCACTTGTTTGATTCCCTGATGGAATAATTAAGGTCATGACTTAGTTGGTACAGGGCTTTGACAAGTTAGCTGCCTTCCTAAAACAGAGATTGAAGGAATTTCAACCTTTTCAGTGAAATTGATAATACTGTTAATATAACATGGCGCAATAATTACATTTCGAACAATTAGCAGGAGAAGAAAAACTAACAGAAAATAACTAAATGAATAAAGTAAAGAAAGAAACAATAAACTTCTAAAAACTATGTATTTAGCATTTTTCTACGTATCTGCCCCCAAATCTTCTCTATTTCACAAACTATCCTCCAAATCTTTGCTAATGTACCGACCAAATCAAATGAAGATCCATTAGTCTAATACCATTTCCGTGACGATTAGAGAATCAAAGTGGATGCACTCTTCTTCTTTTGCTAAGATTACTCCCAAAAAATTTTTAAATATGACTAAGTTATCTGTATTTTACTTAATGACATACATCCACTCCCAAAATCCTGATCCAAACATAGTTAAAGCCTTGTATGGTTCAAGTGATAAATGAAGAAAATCTTATGAGCCAATGAACGTGCAGATTCAACATAATAAACTTGTTTAGCGCTCTTGATAAATAAATTGATAGTCACAATCAGAAGCTTGAGAGCAAAGTCATCAAAGCACCTATTAAAGTCAAAATGCACCAGCTGCATATCTTCTGATATTTCCACCTCAATGGTTGCATGTGGTCGAGTCTGTCAAGATGAAGAATAAAAGAAAACCGTTACTGCTGTCTAGATTAGCCGCTCCAATTTAAATATCAGAAAATGCAATACAAACTTAAATTTAAAGACTCTAAAGATATGGAGTGTGCAGTATAATATAATTTCCTTTAAACATGATATAAAGTACCTCCCTCTGCCGCCTTATCTTGTGCTTTTCATTCTTGTATTGTCTGAAGGTTGTTGGGAGGTTAAGGAGCGAAAAGCGGGTAGGGTGATATCAAGCTGATGTCACATAATGCAGATAGCACAGCACAGCAAAAACAGAAACCTTTTCAGTAAAAGAGGAAATGAGAACAAAGAGCATAATTGGCATCGAGTAGCAATATATATTTATATATATATATATATATTATATATATATTGAGATAGGGTATGCTTGTACCAAGCACAAATTTTAGTACTTGGTAGTGATGTGTCACATCCCATTGACCTCGCAGTTACCCATAGGTGTAAATATGGGTCTAGTACATTTGATGAAGTTGGTGAGGAAGGATGATGAGCCAATCACTAGGCTTGATGCACACTTTTTTGGAGCTCTTAGAATTAAGACATAAAGGATAATATATTTTATTCTATAATAATATTAGTTATTAGTAGGGCGAAAGGGAAGAGGGTGACATTCAAGAATATTCACTAAAAAAAATAGCAGAAACAGCAAAACAGAAATAGAAGAAATATATATATACAGATAGCGAATGGTGTAATGAGAATACAAAGAGGCAGATTGCATACGGAGTACGCAATTATAACATCTATAATGTCTCTCAAGATATAGTAAAGATAATATAATTTAAGATAATATAAATAAGATATATAAAGGCGAAAGAGAGAGGGTGACCATATATGATATAATTATATACAATAGAGGCAGGCAGCAGCAACAACAACAACAGAACCTTTCAGATAAGGAATGAGACACAGGGAATTTGCACCGGGGTTTTAGCAATATATTATCTATATATATATAATAGCTATAGATATATGTATTATATGTATTGTACTTAATATCACTATATGTATAACATATAGATATTATAATATTTATATATATATATATATAATATATATATATATATAATATATATAACTTTGTATATTATGTATATATATGTATGTATATATGTATGTATTATTTGTATATTATTTGTTATGATATATGTGACTATAGTGTATAAAGTATGTAGTTGATATGTATATATATGTAGTATATGATATGGTATATATGGTATGTATGTAATGATATAGGTGAAAACATGTGTCAACTTAAGTGATAGAGAATAGGTGTCCACCAGATTGTTTACCACTCATATTGGCCTAGGGATCCTTGTATTATATAAAAAGTGTTTTTATATAAATAATGTGCTACAAACGTTGGTGGTTCAACTTAAAGTTGATAGCAGTTTGCTATATATATATATATATATATTAGTATATATATTATATATATATATATATTATAATTATATCATTATAAATATATATATATAAATAATGATTGCTACAAACTTTGGTGGATATCAAACTTAGTGGATAGGAGTCTGGCATAGTATATATATATTAGATTATATAGTATAATAATTATATTATACTATATATATATTTATATATATAATGATATATATATAATAGATATATATAGTCAGTAGAATCTATGAAATGTGACGATAGTCCAAAGCTTGTGAGTCTATGACAAGGTAACAAAAGATAAAATACACGCATAATATATACCCATAAAAACCTTTTTCTCTAACATAAACAACCAAATTAGAATGTCAATGTGGAAGTGTTAACATATACTCGGGAATCTCCATAAGTCAAGCAAAAGGAGAAACTAGCCAACCACAGTTTGTATGCACATAACTAACCACAGTTTCAGTTGTAATAGGGACAATCAACCAATGTAACTGAAGTAGCAAGTTAGTTAACTTATTCATTCTATATATACCTTAACTTATTCATTTTATATATATACATTGAAACTGAGTAGGTATAAAAATTCATAATAATAGCAGAGAGTGGAAAGGAAAATAGGTAACATACCTGAACCAGGATGAAAGGCAAAGCAACTCCACCTGGGGGATTATCTCCATGTAGTTGCTCATTACGATTCACCAAATTCTGAAGGCCTATGTACTTAATGAGAAAAGGAAAAGAAAAATGTCAGGGCAAACCAACAAACATAATGCTTGAGTGATTTCTAAAATATATTTACCGCACAACACAGGTTACTCATATACCGGGATCATTCATTCATGTCGCAAGAAGATTTTATGCATACATATGCAACAGTAATTTTTCACAATATACTCATCCCATTATTGTATACCATTCGAGTAAATAATGAAGTTATATGAGCAAGTTCACATTTCAAAAGACCAAAAGAACGAGCCAAGTACATGAAATGTGTGTGCGCGCGTGCAGCTCTTTAACTGCCCTTTACATGTCGGAAAACAAACATGTGTGTTTTCAACATTGAGTGTGTGTGCATGCATGCATGAGTACTCCCTGTAATATAGCCAAATATACATACATCTATAAATTTGTTCAGTCAAACAGGCCATGTTCAACGTGACTTTATGCACACATGCATTTGGACGATATATACTTCCCATTATTTTATACCAGTCAAATAGATAACAAAGTTATACAGAAGCAAGTTCGCCTTTCAAATGTGCTGAGATTTTCTTGAGGAAGTTCAGGCTTGGGTCAGGCAAGGTTGGGCTAATAGAAGTCTAATCCATATAAAATATTGTCAGTCATAATACAACCAATTTATGTATGTCAATGATATATAAGCATTATACATTACATCCATATCTGTAATTCTTTGATCCTTTTGAAATTAATACTTGTGATGAGATGTGAACCAGATTTCCCTCCATGGTTCGTGTACCCAAATGCCCCGGATAGTGCCCTCACTAAGAATACTATAACCAGAACAAAAGCATACACGCACTTATACACATAGGCACAGTTGAACATAGACACCTGCAGTGCAGCCAGACATGTCCATTTATGTACATGCAGAGAAGCACATTCCACAAACACACAAGCATGCTTGCAACACAATCTAGAACGATTATTATTTTTTTAAGACGAGAACTTTACTTGATCTTCCAGTTCTTGCAGATATGCTGCTTTCTTATCAATTCTACTCTTCAGAGCAACACGTTCTGCCTGGAATGGTATATGGAAACAATAAGATGTTTACAGAAAATGGAAAAAAAAAAGAAATTCAAGAAAAGCAAGAAGTTCCATGAGAAATATAGTGAATAAACTCAGACTTGAGACCAGATAAACCTTCAGTTCTTCAACGTCATTTAAGCTAGTTCGAGGTAAACCCCTCCACTGAATTTCTTTTTTATCCTTTGAGATGATATCCATTGCCATAAGCACATTCAGTGCATCATACACCCTCCTCCTTATGTTTTTCTCATCATACTGTTGCTGCATTTTAAGGAAAATAAATGTATTAAAGGAACCGATGAGGACGGTTTATTACTAGTTCGTAAATAGTATTTACCTGATCTGGAGGCCCTATATTATTGCCTGGATCTGCAAATTCAGCAACAAGTTCGTCTGCAACCTAGATGAAAAGGTAAACTTTCAAGATTTAAAAGCATGGACATCCAAAATAAACTAAATATAAAGCACAGGCAAACGGGAATAGTTGCTTTAGAGCAGGTTGAAAATATTATCTTAATATATAAAAGGCTGAGATTTAGAAGGGCATAAATAAGATTTTGGAATGAGGCAAGCACCACACTTAACACCACTGTAATTTGACAACTTGAAATAAACATAATGCAGCAGTACACACTGCCAATGATAAAGATACGGACACAGTAATTTTCTCTGTGATTGGATGCTTTAAGATTTTGGCATGCCATAAAGAAGACTTGCTCATGTCACCATCAACTTTTTTTAAGAAATATCCTATAGCCATCTATTGGTAAGTAATAATAGTTGTTCCTGAGACACCTACTATGTCTTCTTTCTAAGTATGGACCCTTTAAATTTGAAAAAAAAAGTCTGAGCAGAAACAGTAAGACTGTAATCTTGGTTTCAGTCAATATGTCATTGATCATTTTCAAATAGTATGACTACATCAAGAGGTTTAAATTTCCGCCAATATGGCCCAAATATCAGCTGCAATCTTGGTTTAACCTGCTAGCTGGAAAGAAATCCCGTTGAAATATGGTTTCTTTCTCTTGGGGATTTACTGCCGAAATACCAAGTTGTTTCCCCATCTCTATCAGCCAACAACTATCTGCCGAAATTGTCAAAAAGGGGTTTGGTTAATAAAGTGGGTTTGAGTATGGGTATAGAGCTCAAATTGAGCCCTAAACCCAAACCCATTTATATAGAAGGGAAAAGAAAATAAGAATTAGTGCTTGGAACTTCATTCACTGCAAGCCCTTATTTTCGTCTCTCACACTGTGTCACTGCCGCCATCTTGCCTCAAGTTTGCCTCCGCATTCGCCTCGGGCTGACTCATTATCACTGACATCTGAATCCTCTCTCTCTCTCTCTCTCTCTCTCTCTCTCT